GATTTAAATAACTGCTTAGATATATACACGAATGTTGGCAGACTCTTTACAGACAAAAAAAAAAAAAAAAAGAAGTTCTGTAAAACGATTTGTGGCTCCAAGTTAGGTTTGAGACAACCATTAAGATAGTCGACTTCTCTAGAAATTAAAAAAAAAAAAAAAAAATCGCAACGATTTCGCTATCAGTAAATACAAAGACGGAAGTTCGTGTATTGCTTCTAGGTAATAATAGTGCTTGTTCCATTGAGGCTAAATAACATCCTGCTTGAACCTAAGGTGGTAGGGGAATCCCAAGAGGCAAAAGATTAGGTAGCTTCTGTCAAGCATGATTTTTTAAAAATTAATTAAATATTTTTAAAAAACTGGTTAATAACCAAATCGTTCTATAAAATTTAGTGGATAAAACCAACAACGTGATAGGCGGATGTAGTGATAAAACCATCATAGCTCTTTTAGTCGCATTTTTTTTATTAATGGTTTTAAGATATAACAATAAATTTTAAAAATTAAGTTTTAAATATCGGTGTTAGTGAATACATACAAACATAGAATAAATATATTAACATTGTTAATATACAGGTACATTAAGAAATCATAATAATTCTTTCCCCTATATTTTAGTTTTTACTTAAGTAAGTAACAAGAAACCGCAGTGTAATTCACAAAGGATATTATTAGGCACGAGTAGTGTGCCAAAAAATAAAGATAGGACATGCTTACGCCATTTTCTTTATCGCTACCATTTAGCTATACTCGAGTGTTAAAGAATCGCTTAAACTATACATACCTTTTTTTTTTTTTTAGCTTCCTTTATTAAGAAATATTACAATCTGTCTCTGTTAAGGACAAATAAAAGAGTTCAGAGAGCACATTCACACCATATATACAGAAATATAAATAAATAAAATAATAACAAAAGAATACATAGAAATACGAACAAAATAAAATATACAAAAAAATATCATTTCGAAAAATGTTTTTAAACTATTATTCAACTATTGTGTTTTTCAACTGAAATCAGTTATCAATATCCTTAGATATAAATTTAAAATTGGTAAAACTAGGTCATCCATCAAGAATTACTTACAATTTAATTATATATGGATAATTACACTTTATAACTATGAAAGAAAAAAGTAGTATAAATAACTTATAAATGTAGTACATAAAAGTAATAAAACCTATATATCAAAGCAATGTCAGAAAAATAAAGAAAGGTCTCTTATGGAAAAGAAATTCATTCATCAAATGATGGAAACAAAATAGTATTTTGAGGAAATTACCGATGAAATTAATTTTAAAATTCTGAACAAAATATTGCTTTTGACACGGGGTAGCAAATAGTGTTGCCCAAATGAGAGACCAAGTCGTGTCTTGGTCTTGCGCAAGTGTCTCGCAATAATCTTGCAGTTACCTATTAGCTTATTACTACAGATATATAACCGTAATTTTTTAGATAGGAGGAACCTAACTAACCCCGAATGAAATATTAGAAGAGTTAAATGCAAATGTATATTGGTTATAACAATTCTTTACATACAGTAACTAAAATTGTTAAGTATTAGTACTTATTTTACCTTAATTTTTATTCAAAAAATCGATTTTACTTACCATTCTTGGTCTCGGTCTTGCAACAGTTAGGCGGTCGTGGTTGCCAATTTTGGGCAACACTAGTAGCAAACTGGGCATTCGGCGTATTAAAAACCCGGTATCGAAACTTGTGAAGGAGGATCACTAATGATTAAAAGAAAAAAAATGTCTAAATTGAGAAGATATTGATAAAATGCTTACTTAAATATTTGGGTGTCCAAAAATGTATTAATTATTGTTAATTCATAGCATTGTTGTATTCCATCTTTATATAATATACAATATATATAAGTAAATATTTATATAAAAAATGAGTAACCAATTTAAATAAGAAAAACAAAAATATGTTTCACCGCCTAAACGCTGACAAATCAAAACCCTTACTACTGTTTCTATTCCAATAAAGAAATAAAATACTGTGGAATACGGCATAGATGAAAATACAAAAAAAGGTATAAAAACTCTTATTTCTTATGTTACTTTTATTTTTGTTAAAATCTGAGAAGAATGTAAATTTTGGTTTACAGTTAAAAATAAACCTGCAGATGTGCTGCAAATGCAGTTTGGCCGACGGACTTGGTCCTTGTTACAGGTAAACACAATATGCATTAGTTATATAAAAAAAATAATAAATATAGACCGCTTAAAAATATGAGTTTTTTTTTTACTCCAAATAAATCTGAAAAATTAAAATATTATTGTCTGATTACAATATATTTTTTTTACTGACAACGCAAAATAAGTTATTTTATATATAAATAATGATACTTAATTATTTATCTAATTTTTTTAAATTAATGGCAATGACAATTTAAGACAATGGTAGATTTTGCGTCTCCCTGCCAAGCCAGCGTTAAGGAAGAGTCATAGAGACTAACCACTTAGTATAAAATTAATATTTTCAAGGCCTAGGTAGGCATGATGTTTGTTATAAACTTCTTTTATTATTACTGATCATTTTTTGGTAATGGTTGAAACAGCAGCGGTGGCATTTTGAGAATATTCAATGGGAGTTTTGGCATTGACCAGCTTCTCTATTCAGGAATACTTCTTGGGCTCCAAAGAGCTTTACTCTTTAAGAAAAAAAAATCTTAAATTGTGCACAAAAGAGTACCTCAAGTTTAAACTAAAGTTAATTTTGACCAAATTTCTCAGAAATTGATACAAATTACTATAAATGGCTTTGCAGCTTGGGAATGAGTTCTCTAAGAGAAAAATCTCGTAGGATAAATCTTTAAGCATCAAATTCTGGGTCCAGAGAGTATCAACATTTTTTATATAAGTCAAAATTATACCTCTCGAAATTGTTTAACTCCCGATTGTTGTAAATTGGTTACGAAGGTGTAGGTTTTATTCTCCGTAGTTATTGTTATTTAGAATCACATATATCCAATATAAATCTCATTGCCAATCTCAACAGCGGCGGATCTTTATAAACGGGGTGCCAAAAGAAATCGGTTTCACAAAGAAGTGTTGGTACTCATGGGATACGGGATCCGGATCTCTAAAAGTTTTATTCCATGATTTTTTTTCTCTAAGGGAACTCAGTTCCTAGCTGAAGAGCAACGAGCCTTCATTGAAACTAGCCGAAATCCTCGCCCTACCACTTAAAGGAACTTTAAAGTATACCTACTAACTCAATTACAATTAGTTTACCTACAATTTAACATTCTTTAATTTCATAATACGTTTTCATTTAGAAGTATCGTTCAGGAGTTATGCTAGAAAAAAATATCTAAAATATTTGGCTTTTTTGACTGTCAAAAGTTTTCCCTAGATTGTCCATGTTAGTAAGTATAAAAAATAAAAACTATTCTCACTCTTTCACAATATATTTCATATTTCGATCCTAAAGCTGTTGACCTAATACTCTATAAATAAGCTACTATTTCTAAAAGCAGCAGCTCTGGGATGGCAAACAAGGTTCATTTTACATTGGAACACTTTCCCAATTTACATATAAACCTTGTGCTTCGAACCTTTTTAGCTTCTGGCTCTAAGGCTACCAGGACCTAATTCGAGCTCATCCGGCAAAATGCAATTACCAAGGTTCATGATGTTAATTTTCTTGGAAATAAAGAAATGTTTAAACATCTTTGTTTGTTATGTTATTAATTTTCGACTGTTTTTGTTTTTGAAAAACGTAAATCTGCGTTTACGGTAGGGATCGACCGATATCGAAATTTTAGCCAATACCGATATTTCAATGGCCGATATCCCGATATATCGTCCATATCGGTCTATTTTCCTCTTTTCGTCAAAGTTTCTATAGTTTTACATGGCATATCCTACTTATTGCTACATAAATGAATAAACTCCTCGGCCTACACACAAATTTTTACCGAAAAAAGATCGATAAACCTTTATTTCAGCATATTGACCATTCATTTCTATATGTCTAGTTCATTTCAACGTCGCATAGAAAATTCTTGTAATTGCTGAATGGAAGTATCAATCAATCATAAATATATATATATATATATATCTGATGACTTGATATTATCTAAATTAGTAAAGTTAGACCATTTTTTTAAATTTTTTATATTATATATTTTTTATTATTATTTACTTCTCAAAATTTGATAATATATCGATATTGTAATCACCGATATATAGGTCTGATGACATTATTTTATGATGATTCATAAAGTTCCACTTGGAATAAATTTCATTTTTATTCCTGATAAATGCGTCAACCAGTCTCCAAGGAATTGACATAAACATAAATTCGAGCGAAGATTGATATATCGGCTTTTTTATTTTCACAAGAGTTTCAATTCAAGTCAAGAGTTGGGATATTATTTTTAACTGTAAACTTTACAGTTTGCTGTTTATCTGCATTCAAGAAAGAGTGTTTTTCAAGAGTATACAAAGATAGTTTAGCTAAGCTCTTGTGTCGCTTTCAGACGTTAGTTCGCTGTTTTGTCTTTCTTGAGAGATCTTGTTGAATTTAAAGGTACCTGATTCGATTTTTATGAATTTTTTTCATCCACCATTTGCTTTGAAGTATTTTACGCCGTCCTTCATTTTCTGTTGATTCCTTCGTTTGGTATATTTTTAAAATTACAATAGGTTAGAGCAAATGCGATTATGAACGTCAACCATGCTTGTTTCTCTGGAAATAGACACAAATGTTTAAACAAGCTATTTCTTTTATTTTCCGTTTTCCTATGTTGGAGTTTATGTTGTTTTTGAAAAATGTAAACCCGAGTTTACCCTTGAATAAAAATCTGCAGTTGTGCTGCAAATCCAATTTGACCTATGTACCTCGACCTTCTTCCCCTTTAATCAGCTCGAGAGGGCAGCCTCGGCGATAAGCGGACTGGTGGGGAACTGGGGCGGTCCTGGGAGGCGATAAGGAGGGAGGGAGGGAGCGAAGAGGGAGAGGAGAGAGGATTCAGTCCTAGCATGTGCTCATAGCAGGCGGGTGTGAGTGTGCTCTCGAGAGATTACGATGCCGTCGTCCTGTTCCTGGATATTTCCTCTGCTTCTATGCCTTCATCTAGCCCTAGCGAAAGGTCAGTCAAATATAATTATTATACTATGTTAATACCACTGGGTATCCTTCTCCTCTTAGCCAAAAAAAATACATGAATATAAAAAAATTGAATTAATATATTATCGAAGTCAACCGTATCATAAATATGGATTACGTCCTTCCTGAAAAATCAACGTTTTCTTTCCAATAATTTATTTTAACTCAAGAATTACCCAGTCATCTAAATTCCAATAACTTTAAAATTTACAATATATATATATATATATATATATATATATATATATATATATATATATATATATATATATATATATGTATATATATATATATATAATTTATTCGTTAGTACTGTAGGACTTCGATTTTATTTATAATAATAAAAACACTTATGATCCAAAAGTTCAACCTTTTTCTTCTTTACATCCAACGTTTCAGCCCTTAAGGATATTTTCAAGGGAAAAAAACTAACTATATAAAACAAAAATAAAATTATTTGGGTTATATTCTATTACAATTCCATTATAATTAATAAGCACAAAGGCATGTGATAAGAGCAACTTTATAATCAATAATTTTATTTTTATTTTATAAAGTTTCTTCCCTTGAAAATGGATTGAAGGGCAGAAACGTTTGAATATGAAGGGGGAAAAAATTGAAGGACGAATAAATTAAATTTGTTTTTTTTATTATTATAATTAAAATTTACTCTGATATATATGTTTGTTTAACATCACAAAATCTCATTATTTCATCTAATGATTACTACATCCGAAGGAAACTAGTTCAATAATAAGAGAAAGTTTTCAACCGAAGGTCAAACTTTTGTAACCAATGTCATTAGTAAAACTGACGAGTTTATTTGAATAATTCTTCAACAATAACGACCTTACAAAAAAGGTTGCTGTGAACGTGAATTCATTGACCTTCCATGAAAGCTCAGTATTCACATCCGGTCACATGTGCCATATTTATTCCAACAAAAGCCTCTGTACAAACTATTGAAAATTAAAACAAATAATTTGTCAAATGTGTGGATGGGGTAGATTTGATAAAGCATCTATAATTTATAATATTGAGATTTTTTTATATAGTTAAAATGATACTTTAACATAGCAATACAAATACAGAATATTATTTTTCAATATTATATAAATTTCAATAAAAGAGTTCGGCTCTAGCCGGTGACAACGATACATCGGCTCCACGGCGGTTTCCCTTTTAATAGGGTTTTATTCGCCCAATCGAGCCAAAAATTTACATGTGACCGAGGACGTACGCTGGAGACCTGCTGCTTGAATTTCGAAAAAATCAAGCAAAGAACTTCGCCAGGACTAGGAGGTAAAAAAACTCAACGTGCCTGTGGGACCGGGGTCCTTATCACTGTGCAGAACAGGACTTGTCGGCCCCCTCCACCTCACAGCGGCCGCCTCCATCCAGCAAGGTCAGTGGCGTCTTATCAATACCAACAGCTGTCACCGAAAGAGCCCAACCTATTTTGTTAACCTTATCCATTGTTTCATTGATTTTCTATATTCTCTCTCTGCTCTCTTATTCAAGGAAAAAAATTATATATATATACATATCAGCTTTATCAATCGATTTATTTATTAAATTTTATTTATTATTTATTCAGTGGACGTGGGTATGTGTTTTTAATTTTATTTAATTTTTTTAACAGTATATTTTAAATTGTTTTTATTCATTAACTCATTTATTAATTTATTATTATTTAAATAAGATTTTATTGATTGTATATTTTAACTTGTTCTCAATTGTTAACGTATTTATTAATCTTTTATTTTTTATTCAGATTATATTAACTGAATATTTTAATTTGTTTTTAAAAAAATTGATTTTATAGATTTTAACTTTTTACCATTACTTATTTGATATATTTTAACTTAATTTTAAGCAATTGATTTGTATATTTTAACTTCATTTTATATTTTAGCTTAGTTTTAAGATTAAATTTAACTTTTTATAGTATAACTTGGTTTCTATTGATTTTAAATTTTAAATTTTAGATTATTTTACCATTATTTATTTGATATATTTTAACTTGATTTTGTGCAATAGATTCTATAGATTTTAACCTATTAATTAACCTTTTTTTTTTATTATAACTTGGATTCTCTTGATTTTATATTTTAAGTTATTTTTAAGCAATTGATTTTATAGATCTCAATTGTTTTTTAGCTTTATACATTTTACATTTTAACTTTTTTTAAACATATTTATCTGATACTTAAGTTGGCATATATGCATGTCTCTCTCGTTTAGTTTTTATTTATTTATTTTTATTTATATATTAATTCTCCTTAAAATAATTTATTGTAATCATGCGTGTGGTATACATGGCCTCGAATAAATAGATTGTATTTTAAATGGACCTAAAAATAATGAAAAAAATCGAAATTGGCCAGAAAGTATGGGTTCCGAGAACAGAAGGACCTGCTCAGGAGGCTGTTGTTGCCTCTGTGATGTCTGTGGATGCCGCGGAAGGCGGCCAAAAGAAAATTGTAAAAGTCGAATGGCCAGACACAGAAGGTGTACTATTGGGAAAGACAGTTTCGATAGATGATGTCTTCCCAGCATTGCCAAATGTTCCACAGAATGTCGCAGGGGCGAGCAGAGAGCAGGAGGAAGAAGTTATACGCCCTAATAATAAAGTTTGTCCCATATGTGGGCTTTCTTTTAAGGGTGAAAGAGGTCTTGGAACCCATATTGCAAAAAAGCACCCCAGGGAGGCTAACACCAATACACTGAGGGGCATAGTGAAAAATGTTATAGGTCCAAAAAATGGAGAGGGTGAGGTATCAAAAATAAAAGAGGACATTATTGGATGGTCTACCGTGTTCAAGAATCTCTTAAAAGAAAACACAATGAATATTGCGGATTTTGATGAGGCCGTAGGCCAGTTCCTAAATTTTCTCAAGAATATCAATGCGGAACTGCCAGGTCCCCAGCACCCAGCCGTTAAATTTTACAAGATGAGAAAAAAAAATAAAACTAAAGTGGCTGATAAGGGTGCTGGACAAGTCTCAAACCGCAAAGAGCGAACAAGGTAGACAGGAGTCGTCGGCAGGAGCAGTATCAATACGAAGTCGCACAGTATAATTATTACAATAAAAGAAAAAAAGTTGTGCAAACTGTTATGAATGCCGATGCTCCTAAGAGGTGTCCTATAAAGATGGCCGATATCGAAAAATATTATAAAGACCTCTTTGAGAGCGAAAATCTCTGCAGGCGTGCGGATTACGAGCAGTGTGCCCCGATGCCAAATTTAGTGTCCATTGATGTAGAAACCGTCAAGAAAGCCATTAAATCAACATCAATGGACACATCGCCGGGGCCTGATGGAGTTCTGATCCGCACGATTAAATATTTCGATGTTGCAAATATTATTAGAACAATTGCGGAGATAATGTTGAAGGTGGCCTATGTCCCAGAACCACTTCGACAAGGGCGCACAATACTAATATATAAGGGGAAAGGTGATGTAAACAAAATCCCTTCCTGGAGACCCATCACCATTTATTCTATTGTGCGCCGAATCATAGAGAAGGTTCTGGACCACGAATTAAGAAAACAGGTCACCTTCCACAGGAATCAGAGAGGCTTTATAAAAGGCCTCCCGGGAACGCACGTCAACGCAAGGATTATCGACGCTGTATTGAAGGATGCAAAGATTATGAAAAAAGATTGTGCGGTGGTATTCCTTGACGTTGTCGGTGCTTTTGACAATGTTGGCCACAATCATATCGTGAGCTCCTTGGAAGCAAGAGGTGTGTCGCCGGATCTTCAACACGTTATATCGGCTCTCCTCTGCACGAACACAATCAAAATTAGTAACGGTGTTCACGCAACTAGCCAAATCAAAGTGCTGCGCGGGGTACCCCAAGGCGGCCCCTTGTCGTCGTCGCTCTTCAACCTGGCCATTGACCATCTCTATCGCGACCTGTGCGATGAAGAATTTTCCAAAAAATTTGGATACAAGTTAAAAAGTGACCAAGGTTGTGTGGTCCTCACAGGTTTCGCGGATGACCAGGCCGTGTCAGCGCGTGACAAGGGGGCTGCAGAAAGAGTGATCGGCAGCGTTCAGAGGACATTTGAGGGAATTGGTTTGGCTATTAATCCTCAAAAAAGCGTGGGCATCGTTCTAAATAAAGGAGAGCTGGAAACCGCGATGCTCTCCCTTGAGAACGGAGAGTACATCCAAACAATGCAGAATGGAGATACAATCAAGTATTTAGGATGTACATTCTCGGGAGAGCTACAGTTCAACGAAGATTCGGTGACCAAATTGAACGAAAACCTGAATAAACTGGTAACCTCTCCCTTGCTGAAGCCGGAGCAGAAGCTAAACATTGTCAACCAATATCTGTTCCCGGGTCTTACTTACCCTCTCCAAACTGCGCCCCTCACAAAGCTGCGTCCTGCCGTACTTGACGGCATCGACACTATGATTCGCAGGAGTGTGAAGGCTATTGTTGGACTCCCTGCGAACACCTCCACGGCGATGTTATACTCTCCCAGGAGGTATCGAGGATTGGGATTAATCCGCTGCCAATGGGAGGCTCCTCTACAACATTGGTCCATTGCTCAGCGACTGTCCAATGTGCCCGATGCCCTTTTTCAGTCGATCTTTGATTATTCGGCTGAGGTTGATGAATGTGCCGAGAGATTGGGGGTTGATCGGGGTATTCGGAATATGAGAGCTCTACGGCAGTCGCTTCGAGAAAATTCGTTTGAGGAATGGACCAATTGCAGGTGGCAGGGCATTGGAGTTCGCCATTTTAAAGAGACCCCGAAAGCCAATAAATACATGTATGATAAGCAAGTACTTTCTGGGTCTGAATGGTCAAATGCCCTGAAACTAAATATTAATTATGCTCCCCTGCGTGGAGTCCCAGGTGTCAGCGGACAGGTAAGAGAAGTTGGGTCCCTCTGTCGCAAATGCGACAGAGAGCCAGAAACACCAGCACATGTGCTTGGAAAATGCCCCAACAACTCCCTCCT